CACTGAGTAAATAAATTAACCACAGTCAGCCACGCTCTGGCTGCCTTCTCCTCCAAATCTTCAGATCCTGGGAATATTCCTATAAGCTGAAGTAGTACTACACATTTGAAATGTGTTGTAACTAGCATGGCAAAGAAGCCATATTTGCCTGAAAAACCCATAATAAATATAGTTGGGGAAATAGATTTCTTTATATTTTTGAGAAACAGTAACATATGGAGAAAAGGTTGGAATGTACACACGTCATGTGTTTCAGAAGTGAGATATTGGTAACATTAAGATGCCCTGCTGATCATTGACCTTATTATTGCACAGTAATAAACTAATATTAAAAGGTGGAAAGCTTGAGTACCTCTGCTCCACATTTAATAATAAGGTCATCGAGATCGAGTCCAACCCTCTGCTCAGGCAGGAAACCCTAAACTAGGGGTAGGCAACCTCAGCTCTTTTATGACTCATGGACTTCAACTCCCAGAATTCCCGAGTCAGCATAGCTTGGGAATTCTAGGAGTTGAAGTCCATGAGTCATAAAAGAGCCGAGGTTGCCTACCCCTGCCCTATACCATTTCGGACAAATGGCTGTCCAGTCTCTTCTTAAAAACTTCCAGTGTTGGAGCATTCACCGCTTCTGGAGGCAGGTTGTTCCATTGGTTAATTGTTCTAACAGTCAGGAAGTTTCTCCTTAGTTCTAAGTTGCTTCTCTCCTTGATCAGTTTCCATCCATTGCTGCTTGTCCTGCCTTCAGGCGCCTTGGAAAATAGCTTGACTCCCTCTTCTTTGTGGCAGCCCCTGAGATATTGGAACCCTGCTATCATGTTCTTAGGAATGAGTATTCTATGCAAATCCTCTTGCTGTATTCAGGAACTATCTCAGTGGACCTAGAAGAGCAGAAAAGGTTCCTTAACAACGTTTGTCAAAGAATTGATGTACTGTTGTGAGTTACAGACCTTCTTTACATCTTTTTTTGTCTTGCCAGCCATTAAGCCTTTTGTTCTTTCTAGGGTACCCTTGCTGAGCGGATCCGAGCAGGAGGAGCTGGCATCCCGGCTTTCTTCACCAGTACTGGGTATGGGACCTTGGTGCAGGAAGGAGGGTCTCCAATCAAATACAACAAAGACGGCACTATTGCCCTGGCTAGTGACCCGAGAGAGGTGAAATACCTGTGGATTTGAGTGATGGTGTGAATGAGGAGGGCGGGCACAGCTTTTTTGAAACTTTCGAAAGTTAAGGCAGATTCAGGACATAACACACTTTGCCAGTAATATGAGAACATGATTTGAGGCCTGTTCAGGAAAACAAAGTTGAATAAATCCTAACTTAGTGTAATATATTAAGCAGATTATAAATCCACCATGCAGATCATATTGTGGCTCCTGATTTTATTCAGTCTGCCACATTTAATTCCCAGTTTTCATTACCGTCAATGGTATTTTCATTTCATTTCATTGTTAAATTGTAGTGTGAGCTGATAATTTAAAGAAAGCAAAGCTTTTCAAAAAATATCTTAAAATGTTTTAAAATCTTCTCCCCCCCCTTTTTTTTTTTTTTAAAGGTGAGGGAATTTGAAGGTCGGCATTACATTATGGAGAAATCAATTACAGGAGATTTTGCATTAGTAAAGGCATGGAAGTCTGATCGTGCTGGAAATATTATCTTCAGGTATGCCATGTTCACACAGCAAGCATGTTTTAACCTTGCTTTCAAAGAGTTTTCTGGGAAATATAAATATTCTACAGCCTAGAGGATTTTTTTTTTGGTTTCTCTTAGGACGCATGTTTTAATCATATGCAGCAATAGGGGAGGCCCAGTTGTTCTGCTCAAACAAGAACGGCACCATACATTTTAAAAACAAACAAACAAACAAAAAACCCAGCAGCAGTATATTTTAGTATTGAGTGCAGAGTCTGCAGCCCTAGAATTGCAAGCAGCTCTCCAAAATCATCAAGACCTTTCCATAACTCCAGCACCTTTCCAAAAGCTGGTATCAAATGGAAATTGTTCATCTGATAGAAGAAAATTGCAAGCAGTCTTTGACTTATGACTGTAATGGAGGCTGCCCATTATGGCTGTAAGTTACAGTAGTGGCCAAAATTATGGAAACCTTTTGGGAAAAGTGTACAGTTATGTTTCCACCAATTTTTCTTCTAATTTCTTTGTAACTGTAGCCTTGTTCACTTAATAATACTATTTTACATCGCTTTCTGGACAACCAGTCAACTCTTTGCATCATTACTTTAATTTTATTACGTTTTACAAGCTCACTAAATGAAAGAACACAAAAAAAACCAACCAACTTCATAGCGATCACATAACACAGACAAATGTCCTCCTCTCAGCTTCAATACATGACATCAATAACTGAATCCTACTGTGATTTGACTGGCTCATTGCCAAAACAAGATGACACCTGATTGGCTCTCTAAACACTCATGCTCATTGGTTGGCTACAATCAGATGAAGGAAAGCTACCTGATATCAACCTAAGCAAATTGTGCTTCCTTTTTCTGGTTATTTGGCTATTACTTTTCATAGAATACAGTACATTCTTGATTAAATTATCTTTCCATTGATATATAGTTTTATGGTACTACTCCCAAAAAAAGTGGTGTTATTAGCCATCAAACCTCAAAAATACACTTTTCCCAAAAGGTTCCCACAATTTTGGCCACTATATATAATGTTCATAAAGCAGGCCATCATATGACTAATCCAATTATATGACCTTCTTTTGGCAATAATTGAGTGCGGTGGTCATTAAGCAAACTGGAGACCCAATTTGGTCTAGTGGTTAAAGCACCAGGCTAAGAAGCAGGAGACCCTAAATTCAGGTCCCTCCTTAGCTATGAAAGCTGGACCAATCACCCTCTCTCACCTCACAGGGTTGTTGTTATGGGAGAAAATAAGAGCTAGGAAGGTGTGCTGGATATGTTTGCTGCCTTGAGTTATTTGTAAAAATAATAAAGCTGAGATACAAATAAAATAAATTGTTTGCTATTTAGGGGGTGTTGCTAAAAACTGGAAGTCAATGCCAGTTTTTGAAAAAAATGTAAATTGCAGTCACGTAATGGGGGGGGGGGGGNGGGGGGGGGGGGAGAGGGTATCTGAACTTGCGAACCAAGTTGTAAGAAGCTTTTTGAGGGGTTGCCAGGTTTGGGATCCACTGTTTTAGCCTACTCATTTCTGCATCTGAGCCTCATTCATTTTTGGAATGCATCCACTGGCCTGCCATTGAGAATCCAAGTATGGCCTTTCAACCTGAAGAAGGTTGTGGATTCCTGTCCTGAATTATGTCCCAGAATCCTTTGAAGCAATGCAAGCGCTTCTGTCTGTGCAGTGGGGCTGCTTTTCAAAAAAAATGGCTATAGGAAGAAAATCTGATTATAACAAAGCTAGGCTCTTTCTGCTCATCAAGGGCCAGGAGGTTGAAATAAGTTCCCCACTTGTGATCATGGCTATCTTATTCCCATATTTTAGTCCTTCTACCGGTATCTCTGTGTTGCCAATGCTGCCTACCTAAAGCTGTTCTTCAATAGCAAAAACCTTACTCCAGCTTTTGCTTCTTGCTCTGTTCCACAGTATTGAACAAACCCGTGAAACAAAAATAACCACACGAGGGCAGTAGAAGGCTGTAGTTTTCAGCTTCTACTGAACTAGAATTTCCCTTGTATTCTTGTTTTAATATTACACCTTTTCTTACTATTAAAGAGATGTATGCCATCATTTGGAGACATGCTGTCAAAAAAAGACATATAATGTTAGCAAAACAGAAGCAGAGAACCAGTTTTTGCTGATGATGTTATAAAAACCTTATTTTTTTCAAATAATGTCAAGATAGTAAATAGACTGAGAGCAGAATTAAGAATTAAAATTTAAAACTATAATCTTTTCTTCCGGATAGAAATGTTGTTATTCTTTCTAAAACCCAGGAATAATGTAATTAGTTTCAGGACTGTTCCCAGATGTTATAATTCAGAATAGAGATAGCTTACGAGATATCTCCATCAGTGCTCAGAGAATTGTAAATTAGAAGGTGATGGAGGGTTGTTGTAGGTATAGTAGGCCCTCTAAACCAGTAACTTTAAGAGCTTTGGTGTGCAGTGATTAGAATGCAGGCTAATTCTGCCAACTGCCAGCAGTTCATTTCTTACTGGCTCAAGCCTTCCATCCTTCCCAGGTCAGTAAAATGAGGACCCAAATTGTTGGGGGCAATATGCTGACTCTGTAAACTTCTTAGAGAGGGCTGTAAAGCATTGTGAAGCGGTATATAAGTCTAAGTGCTATTGCTATTAAGATGTGTGGATTGCAACTCCCAGAATCTCTCAGCCAGCACTGTTCTAAACAAATCCATGTTTAATGTAAACTATCCATAACTAGAACATTTCCAGCTAAGTCTCTCCAGTCTCTGTCTGAGAATCACCAGTGAGAGAGATCCCAGGATGTTTCTAGTCAAATTGTTGCTATCAACAAGATTCTTGTAATATTGACTGAACATCTTGCATTGCTATAACCTAAGAAACCATTAGAGGTAGTCCTGGCATGGTTGGCAGAGAACATGCGTCTATCTGCTATTTATTTGTTAGATTCATGTTTCATCTTTTCTTCAGAAGCTTTATGGCTTACTTGAAGATCTGATTTCATTCTATCCCCACCACAACTTGGCTCAGAGAGGGTGACGTGTCCAAAATTATCTAATGAATTTCCATGGTTGAATCTCAATAGTTTCACTCATCTAATATTTTATCTACTACAGTACAGCCATCCTCTCTGCTACAACTACAGGGTATGAACATTTCTTATGCATTTGTTCATAAATATACAGTCAAAGGGATATCACACATCTTTGTCTTAAACTCTGATCTATATTGAATCATTCTCTAAGTACTCTCCATGAAAGAATGGGACCATCCCAAGAGAGACTTTTTTGGGGGTGGGAGTTCGGCTTGTTTTCAGCAAAAAACAGCTGTAGGAATACATTGATTTGCTTAAGGACCGCAATGTTTGCTTAATGACCTCAGCAAAAGTCATATAATTGGTTCCAGTCATGTGGATACCCCGAAGTGCGACCATTCTGATTTATGATGGATAATCTGGGCTCCATTACAGTAGTATGTTGAGGCCTACCCGGAAAACTGATTAATTGAGAATTGTTGAAAATGAGACTGAAAACAAGGACAATACTTTACCATTAAAACTTACTCTGTTATTGTTTTTGAGGGGGACGTACCTGTTCGGCTTGTATGTAAGCAATCAATGCCTGAAGGACAGAGGGAAGTCCCTTTATTGGCTATGTTCAAGCAGAAGCTAGATAGCAAAATGGGTTTGCTTTGGTTGGGATTTATGTTGGGTTTGGACCTGAAGGCCAGTCCCTTTCAACTATAAATTGATTATGCTCTGAATTTTGTTCTGCTAATGTTTCTTGACATTATAGAAAATGATAACTGCAGCTCTATTAAGCTCTTTCTTCTCAAACAGGAAAACTGCGAGAAATTTCAATCAGCCTATGTGTAAAGCTGCCAGAACAACAGTGGTAGAGGTAAGGCAAAAAAAAGTTCTTCCCAGCCCCAGCAGAGATTTCTGGGCTAAATATGATTCGTCCTTCCTATTCTTCAGCTTTTTGAGAGAATGAGATTGTTGTGTTTGTAGCATCTTTCTTCCTTACCAAGTATCTTCAGACATAATAATAATAATAATAATAATAATAATAATAATAATAACAACAACAACAACAACAACAACAACAACAACAATAATAATAATAATAATAATAGTCAATTGCAAAAGGCGGCCTTACTAGGAACTGCTTCCATCCTGCGACGATATCTGTAATACCATCAAACATCCACATCTGCCTATCCCAGGTCCTGGGTAAGGACTCGATAGGTAGACAAAATGCCAAATCCAGTCTGAACATCTGGCTGACTGTGCGATGATCCATAATAATAATAATAATAATAGTAAAGTTGGGAGGGACCTTGGAGGTCATCTAGTCCAACCCCCTGCTCATGCAGGAAACCCTATACCATTTCGGACAGATGGCTGTCCAGTCTCTTCTTAAAAACTTCCAGTGTTGGAGCATTCACCACTTCTGGAGGCAGGTTGTTCCACTGGTTAATTGTTCTCACTGTCAGGAAGTTTCTCCTTAGTTCTAGGTTGCTTCTCTCCTTGATTAGTTTCCACATGGTTGGCTCCTCTTCCCTTGTTTTTGCTTTTACATAAAAATCAAAATCCTCATTACAAGCACAGCCTTAAGCAAAATCGGGAAGAGATGAACATGTGAGAGTGCAGTATCCCCTGCTTTCATTCGACAAACGTATAGAAAGACCTACAGGCCTTGGTGAATTGATGCACGACATATCTATATATTTAAAGCTGAGCAGTTGAAGAGAATGGGGAATTGCTGATAACTATATCTGTGTGCAGCAGAAAGGGAATTAGCACAGGCATTTATATAATCCTAAAAAGCTGAATCCTTGTTTCCAAGAAAAGGATTGCTCCTTATTTGAAGCCTGAGCTATTATCCTTTGCATGCAGGAAAATAGATGTTGTTTCTATTAACTTTTTCTTTATAAATGTATTTAATTATTGCCCCTCTAGAAACAGTTCTGTGTGGTGTAGAGTACAATATAGCTAAAACAACCTTGTAAGTAAAGGAAAGATTTCCTCAAGTTGAACTGGACACTTGACAATTGGGCACATCTGGATGCTTGTCTGTTAAATTTTCTTGGGATTCTCTTGGGGTCTCCCATACAAATGCTAACCAAGCCCAAACTTGCTTAGCTTCTGAACCTAAACAAAATTGACACTGTTAATAAAGGCTTTAGGATAAACATGCCTGGAAGTTCTTTGAAGTGTTTCATTAGTCGGAACCTTGACATCATGTGCTTCCACCAAAAAGGGTTATTATGTTGTAAAGCTAGTTTTCAGGAAAAACCTGATGGGGTTGGTGTTGGTGTTGGTGGACAAAGTCAGATAGAAGGTTTTCTTATAAAGCTTGTCATCCATTAAATTCAGCAGCAGAGAAACACTTAGGAAGTGAGGCTGTTGAATGGAGACAGCCTGGTCTTTTTGCTTGGTCTGCTGTTATCTCAACCATTCCTAAATGATATACAATGGGAAGGACTTCCTGCCTTTGATCATGGAGAGGAGTAACATTTAATAAAACAGTTCTAAGGATAGCCTTCACCAAACTAGTACCCTTCAGATGTGCTGATCTTACAGGATTTGTAGTCCAACATATCTGAACCAGGTTGAAGAAGACTTAAAGCAGGAATCTTCTTGCAATCTGTATTTCAGTCCCCATATTTGCCTCTATTGCCTCTATTTTTTTTCCACATTCTACTGTTTTTCTTTCCCTTGTCTTCTCCTTTCATAATGTTCTGTGAAATTGGTTTTTTTCCTTGTCAGCGGAAGAAGCTAGAATAACAAAGGTCTGTATTTTCGTTAATTTTTGAGAGATTCAAGATGAATTTTGAGGACAAATAGGGCGGGGATTCTACACAGTGTAGAAAAGGCTCTTTCACCCATAACTAATTAAATAAATGTAATTAAAAATCCTGCAATGTATCCCAGGTTGCTTAGCAACAGCTGTCCTCTTCCACTATTATTCTGCTCTCTCAGGTATGATGGATCTCATTACAGTGTGCAGCTGCATTGAATGAGTTCCACTTCTCACCAAAATATTGGCATTTACATAGTTTTTACTGAATGTATGAAGATTCTTAAAAAGGGTCATGCTTATACAATACATTTTACACAATCTTAGTTTTCCTTAGTTTCAGGGTTACCTTGTTTTTCAGAATTATAAGAATTTATTTCCCAAACAAGTATATAGAAAGGATCTCAAAACAACTTAAAAAGAAGTCCATAAATTCAGCTAATCTATATATTAGCCAGCACATGTAGCATAAATCTACCTGGTAAGACTGTATAAATAGCGATGATGATGATGATGATGATGATGATGATGATGATAGTAATAGTAAAGAATATAAAAAAATAAGAGAGGACAGGTTAAGTAACTGCAGAATATGTAGACCTGGAGAAACTCTAGAATCATTTTCATAATATTTTCATATGATTCAATACAGCCTTCACCAACTTATTTGCATATGTGTTAGAAGTAGAACAAGTTGGTTCTGGGAGTTGTATACTCCATACAATTGAGGCCTCCTGGTCAGGAAAGGCTGATTTATTATTAGGCCTGTGCCTTCCTGTCCAGCTCTGGATGGAAATCTTTTGGGATGGTGGCATACTAGACCTGTCAAGAATATTTTATGGGGGCACTCACAGAATGAATGGCATAAGTTATAACTTGATGTTACTAAGTTATCAGAGTTAAACAGGTATTTACTACAAACAGATGCTCACTGGGTTTATTGGGAACAGGTACTTCCTGGGAACATTGCACATTCTCTGGCCTGCAACACAGATTTTAATCCAGGAATTCTGGGTCACAGAAAATGGATTGCAGTAGTTCAGTGGTGAAGAACCTATGGCACGCGTGCCAGAGGCGGCACTCAGAGCCCTCTCTGGGGGCACGCGCGCCATCGACCCAGCCCCGCCTCCCCCGTGGACCCCTCCTCACCAGCAGCTCCCCCGGAGAAGACACTGCACTCGCGCACCATTGCGTGCAGATGATGCTGCGGGGCATGGGCGAAGGGTGTGGCTGCCATGGCGCTGCTGGGCTGCCTGGGCAATCTGCGGTGGGCCGTGGAGGCGGTGGGTGGCCCTGGGGGTGGGGCGGGGGCGGTTTTTGGGCACTCGGTCTCTAAAAGGTTCGCCATCACTGCAGTAGTTCATGCTGTTCACTTATTAGATACGTTTGTAGGTTAAGAATTATCTGGTTTTTGTTCTGTTTTATTCAATTATTATTATTATTATTACTTTAATTTATATCCCGCCCTTCTCCCGAAGGACTCAGGGCGGCTTACAGGCAATAAAAACGGAACTATACAATAAATATCTAAAAACAATTAAAATATATATTAAATAAGCCTGTTATTTTTAGAAAAGTTATAAAATCCCTATTAAAATCCCTATACAATCCCCCCCCTAGGCCAATC